CCCCCCCCCCCCCCCCCCCCCCCCACCCTTCATGGAGCTGATTCTGAGACACCTTTGGCAAAGTAGGAAGGAACGATTGGACGTCGGTGATCGGTCCTTTGGGAACAGTGCTCCGTCCTCTCGAGAACGCATAGCCAACGGCCTGCTCGTGAAGGTATCTTAAGGATACTTGCATTAACCTATGTAGGGAGCTGTGGTATAATGGTTAGCATTGATCCCTGTCACGGATCAGATCCGGGTTCAATTCCCGGCAGCTTCGGTATTCCTTTTTTTCCGCCCGCGAGAGCCATCGCAAGATGTGGGGTAGTAGGGAAGGAGGGGTGGGAGGACGATCTGAAAGAAAAAGGGGAAAAAAAAAAAATCTTCAAGCAATACCTGCTTGAGGCGGTTTCTTACGGTTTGAAAAATTCCAGTTGAAAAATTCCAGTTGAAAAATTGAAATTTTCAATTCCCAGCCGAACAGATCTTCTTACGGTTTGGAAAATCGATTTTTTCGAGAAATAAATTTCAACTCGGGCCAAAAACAATTGAAAACGCTCTGCGCAGGCCGAGTTGAAAAAGCTAATTGGAAATCCAAACCTAGGGGAGGGAGGGGTACTCATAGTCGTGCATGCCGTAGTCGTTAGACCATTGACCTCGCATCCCTACAAAGCCGGGACGGAGCACGCCGGGTTCTCACCGGACCAGGCTCTCACATCACCAAGCGCGAAGCGCCGTGAGATATTCGGCGAGTCGCATGAAGGGTGCGCTGCATCCTGCTAAGGGTTTTCGGCATCTTGTGCTTACTTCCTTGCGTACGGATGACAGCTGCGTATGACTTAATTTATTTTCTGGTGCTTTCACTTCCAGAGACAGTTGTAAGCACTGTGTAACTGCCTCGAGGGTGCTTGACCATTTTAACACAACGTGGTGCGATCATCCCCCTTGCGCGGAGTGAGGGTTCTCCACCCCGCACAACATGATCTACTCGACCACCATTATGGTTACCGCCAAAAAAAAAAACGGAGGTAAAAAAAAAAAACGGTAACCTGGTTGCCGAGTTCACGAAGTGAATTGGCTTGTTTTACAGCGTCTTTGCCAAGCGACTCAAACCCAA